GGAACCCTTCATCTCTGTCAACCATACAGCCTATATATGAAAGACAAGCATTCAGTGGGAGAATTTGCTTGATACCATCGGAAGAATCCCTAAAAAGAAGTTGGGCCCTTAAACTCTGACAACACGCTGGAGATTAAATGAACAGTTACTTAAACGCAAGCAAAAAAACCCACCAACAATAAGCAAAGATCTTCATGTAGAACTTCTTTCTCCCCTGGGGCTTAGCTAGTTATGTAGAAAAGGCCTCCTGTTAAGTTTGCTTTAGCGACACTTTCTGTTACTCTACAATAGGAACATGAGTAGTTTTCCTCCCATGAAGTACTTAAGTTCAGCAGTAATTTAAACGGGGATCTCAGCGAGTTCTACACACTTGCTCTCTCACTGATAATGACTTGGCATAATGACCTGGCTATCAGCTTTCTAAAGAACATCCAGCACATCTTTGCAAACGTCTTGTGGTTTTACTAAAGCTTCCTTGCTTCTCAAGGGAGAGGATGGATTTTTTCTCACACTTGCTCACAAATATGGCTGTGCAGACTAATAAAAGAAGAGGTCTTTGTTATTTTTGAAAATTTGTTTGACCTGCTGCCCCTTACATCCACATCCTTAATACTGTTAGTAAGAGGATTAGTCACGTAAAGCGTGTTTCATCCTCAGCAAGTCACATTTGACTAGCAGCACAAGCTCGTACTTCCATTTGCTGAAGTTTTTATTTCCTTCTCAGCAGCCAAATACACTCCTGCTTTGTTTTCTGGCGTGATGGCAGATGACCATGCCCAGTCTCTAACCAGCAGGCACACAGGCTGTGAAAGCCATTCTGGATACCATCTTTTGCTTTTAGAAAGAGACAGCCTAGACACTAGTTCTGTGCACCCGAAGACAGAAACGCTGTATGACTGTACACCCTAGAAGGTTCTGGTCTCTTTTGCTGTCCTCAGTTAATCTCCTGAAACAGCAGAGCTGTATGCGATTTTATAAATACCTGAAGCTGTTATGTTTGTAGTAGGCGTTTCTTCTAGTACCTCCTCCAAGAGATCTCAGCCTTGGTAAGGGACCCCCTTACTCCACCTGGAGACTCGTAGAGCTAGTGGGGAAGCTGCCTGTTTGTACTGCAGTAAATGATTAACAGTTAAGGTGTGGCTAATCTAATCAAAGGCCTTGAGCCTACTTAAAAAGACCTGCTTCAGCTGTTGCTCAGACATTTTTTCTTCTCCATGCACCTGTTCTGGTGTTTGTAAAGGCCCCCTCTGTGCCCTCTGACTGGGCAGGGCTGCAGGCTCTGGTGGAGAGAAGAGGGCTTTGTGTCCTGGGTCCTGACTGGACCCGCATTGTAAGCACTGGTAGGAGAATGCTGTACGTATCTAAAATGAGACTGTGACCAAGACTGCCCTCCAGTCCAAACTTCATTGTGACAGTTCAGGTGGATAAACTCATTACAGAGCCTTACTTTGCTATTACCTGCCATAAAACTGACTCCCTGATACTTTCCTAACTGAAGATGACCGGAACGATGGTGCTGGAGAGAGATGGGAGTGTGGTGTGCGAGACTGTGTGTATACGGAAGGAAAGTTGTTTTTCACAAGCCTAGCAAATCATTTTGAAATCAGAGGGGTGATGTTTCAGAATAGAAGCTATTCCATTAAGTTGTTACTAATTCAACCACTTCTGCTGGAAGTGTCCCTGGAGAGGAGCTCTTTCAACACTTCCATCATCGGACTGAGGTAACTGTATTCCCTTGTAGTTCCTTCTAGGCTCACGTGGGCTTTCACACCACGTGCAGGAGTTGCTGTGTTTGAGACAGTCTCGCTTTAGTCTGTGCTCTTCTGAATCTCCCTCTGCTTTTTGAAACAGAGAGGGCCCATCCTCACCGGGGTCAGGGCATTCCAGGTCCCTTTTGGGTAATGACTGAAGCCAAAACCACAAAAGCTTGTGTGAGTGGTGAGTAGGACCTAGAGACTGTCACATCGCTGGTCAGCAGAAACCAAAGAGCTGTTGCAAGCTGGGGGTTTGCCGGGTGGCTTTCAGGCCAACCTGATGTGTTGCCTGCAGGAAGGCAGCAGACCCCACTCAGCCCAGGCAAGCAATTGGTATATTTAAATATTAAGTGTAGGAATAGC